AGAAATCCAGAAGATCATCAATACCTACTTCAAGAACCTGTAAACTAATAAAATGGAAAACACAGAAGAAATGGATAGATTTCTAGATACATATGAATTACCAAACTTGAACAAAGAAAGTATAAAAATTCTAAAACCCCAATTACATTCAGTGAAATTGAAAACGTAATTAAAAATTTACTAACAAAGAAAAGCCCAGGTCCTGTTGGCTTCACTTCTGAATTCTACAAAATATTTAGAGAACTATTGCCATTACTCTTTAACCTTTTCAATGAAATTAAAAGGCAAGCAATACTTCCAAATTCATTCCTGGAAGCAACTATTACTTTGATTTCAAAACCAGTGAAAGACCCAACTAAAAAAGAGAACTACAGGCCAATCTTTCCAATGAATATAGATGCAAAAATCCTTAATAAGGTACTAGCAGACAGAATACAGAGGGTCACCAAGAAGATCATACACCCTGACCAAGTCAGATTTATCCCAGCAATGCAAGGATGGTTCAATTTATGTAAATCAATAAATGTAATACACTATATTAACAGAGTAAAGGACAAAAACTATGTATGATCATCTCAATAGATACAGAAAAAGGATTTGACAAAATTCAACAACCATTCATTATAAAAACTACAGAAAATTGGAATAGATGGTCTTTATCTCAATTTGATAAAGGATATCTATGAAAAACCAATAGCCAAACTCATACTAAATGGTCAAAACCTGAAAACCTTCATTCAAAACTAAATAATAAGACAAGGATGTCCACTATCACCACTCCTGCTCAATATAATTCTGGAAACATTAGCCACAGCAATTAGACAAGAGAAAGAAATAAAAATAATAAAGGTAGGGAAGGAAGAAGTTAAACATCATTATTTGCTGATGATATGATACTCTACATAGAAGACCTAAAATACTCTGCCAAAAGACTTCTAGTCTTAATTGACAGATTCAGTAGAGTAGCTGGATACAAGGTCAACAGTAAAAAATCAATAGCCTTCTTGCACACAAATAGCAGACTCACTGAGAGAGAAATTAGGGAAACAATTCCTTTCATACATAATAGCGACCAAAAAATGAAATATCTAGGAATCATTCTAACAAAGGAAGCAAAAGATCTTTACATTGAGAACTACTCTGAAAAAGAGATTGAAAAGTATATAAGTAAATGGAAAGACATCCCTTGCTCTTGGGTAGGAAGAACCAACACAGTGAAAACGGCCATACTTCCAAAACTGCTATACAGATTCAATGCAATCCCAATTGAAACCCCAACAGCATATTTCACAGAACTAAAGAAAACAGTCCAAAAATTCATTTGGAGACAAAACAGACCTAGAATAGCAAAAGCCATTCTAGGCAACAGAGATGTGGCACTGGGTATAACAATCCCCTACTTGAAAGTATACTACAAAGCCACTGTGATAAAAACAACATGGTATTGGCAAATAAACATACCCAAGGATCAGTGGAATAGATTAGAAGATGCAGAAACAACTCCAGACATTCTCAGCTACCTCATCTTTGACAAAGGAGCCAACCATTCTCACTGGAAGAAAGATAGCCTCTTCAATAAATTGTGTTGGAAAAACTGGATTTCAGCCAGACAAAGATTAAAACTAGACCCCTATCTTTCACCATGCACTAAACTAAAGATCCAAGTGAATTAAAGATCAAAATATTAAAAAAGAAACACTAAACTTGCTGGAAGACAAGTTAGAACTCTCCAAGATACTGGGATAGGAAAACTTTATGAACAAATCCTCAATAGCATGGGAACTATCAGAAAGAATCAGCAAATGGGATCTCATCTCATTAAAAAGCTTCTCCACTGTGAAAACTACCTACAATGTAGGAAAAGTTTTTTACCATCTATTCCTCAGACAAAGTCTACTATGTAGAATATAAAAAGAACTCAATAAAATCAGACTCCCCAAATACAAAGACCCAATTCAAAAATGGGCATCTGAAATGAACAGATATTTCTCAAACAAGTAAAAGCAGCAAGTAAACATGAAAAAATGTTCATCACTTGCCATTCAAACAATGCAAATAAAAAAATGCTGAGATTCCACCTCTCCCCAGAATGAATGGCTGCTATCAAGAAATCAACCAATAATAAATGCTGATGGGGTTGTGAGGAGAAAGGAACCTTTCTCCATTGTTGGCAGGAGTGCAGACTGGTGCAACCACTGTGGAAATCAATATGGTAATACCTCAAAAAACTAGGATTAGAGGTCCCATTTGATGCAGCTATCCGTCTGCTAGGTATCTTCGGAAAAGAATTATAAGAATCATACCACAGTCATATATGCTCACCCCTCTTATAGTGGCACAGTTTGTAATAGATAAAATTTGGAAAGAGCCCATTTGCCCATCAGTTGGAGACTGGATAAAGAAGACATGGTTTTTCTATAAAATGAAGTACTATTCAGCCATAACAAATGAGCAACTAGAGACATAGCTAAATGGATGCATATTGAGGCCATACTCAAGAGAAATAAATAGTACACACATGTGTAAATTCTGAATAGTTTCTCTGGTATGAAAAACTAAAAACATAGATAAGGTTGAAATTGTTCAATTGATAATGTGAAATAAAAAGAAAAAGGCTATAGGTACAGGAAAAGTGGGATAGTTAGGGGAAAGGAAAAAAGGAAAAAGAAAAAATATGAGAAAAGGAAAAAAGGGAAACAAAATCTTTGTAAACAGGGAAGGATGGAGGGAGTGAAGGGAAGTCAGGAGTATGGGGGAAAAAATAAGAACAAAGATATATCATGTAAAGGTCCAGGATCCCAATGATGAACGTAACTGTACTGTATACCTAAAATGTACCAATAAACTTAATGAAAAGAAAACTCAGAGAGGACTATATTTATGAAAAAATAACATTGTAGTGATCACAGAAGAACTTCCCCCTTGTCATCATTTCCTAAACAAGAGAGAATAAAAAATTTTTACAAATTCTTTACATTGTTAGATATGTAAGTAATCTACAGATGACTTAAAGTGTAGAGGATTAGTGTGTAAATATAAGAAATACTATGCCATTTTATATAAGGGACTAGAACATCTTTGAGTTCTGGTATCTCCAGGGGTCCTGGAACTCTCTCACACAAATATCAAGTGTAGGCATGTAAATACAGAGTTATACCTCCATTAAAATTAAGAACATCAACTTTTGAGAACAGAACTAAGACAATGAAAATAGAACACTCAAATCAGGAGAAAATACTTACAGTTCACCTATCTAAGAAAGATTGTTTACAGAGCATTTGAAGAGCTCTCAGAAGACAACTGAATATCACCCTACGGGAAAATGAGCAACACATTTGGACAGTTCCCCAAACCAGATAAACACATAACAAATAATTCCAGTTAGAGACACAAGTACAAGAATGCCCAAAGTTAACAATACTGGCCATTTCAAATGGCAGTGAGGATGTGGAGGAATGAGCATTGTACTCATAAACTTCTGGTGGGAATGCAAATGGTACAAGTAGTTTGGAAAATGGTTTGGCAGTTCTTCAAAACTCTCAGCACAAATCTGCAGAATGACCCAGCCATTCTATTTAAATGTTATTCTATTCAAATTTTATTTTCCAGTACACACCTTTGAATCTTTTTTTGTGGGGGTAGGGGGGAGGTACCAGGCATTGAACTCCAGCCCTTGCGCTTGCAAGGCAGGCAGCAGAACCACTGAGCTACATCTCTGGCAACAACTTTGTATCTTTGAAATCCAGATAGCCCAGCCATTGGATGGAGCTTCAAGCTTATGATTCGATTTTCTTCATGAGAAAATGTATCATTCTGTGTGTGTGCATATACCACGTGTGTGTGTTTGTGTGTATGTACATAAGGGTGCCATGTATGTGATGCACAGGCTATGTTTAATAGTCACATGGTAATATCCTTTGTGAGATTATGGATGATTTTTCTAGGCTCAAAGTGGTTTTTTTGGGGGGCGGTGTTGAGACAAGTACTCACTATGTAGTTGAGACTGACCTGGAAATCACTATGTAGCCCAGGCTGGTCTCAAACTCACAATGATCCTCCTGCCTCAGCCTCCCAAGTGCTGAGATTACAGGAGTGCACCACCACGCCCGGCCTGCTCAAAGTGTTCTTAAAGTTGTTGTGTTGCATTAAAAATAAGATTGATAGAGAATAAGAAAATATTATTCAAATGTTATTGTAGATAATATCAGTTCCTGGAATATATGTCTTCCTCTTGTCAACTGGAAAACCAGGTGCTACTTCTAGGTTGGAATGTCATTTTATGTCTTTCAAAGATCACATTATTTAAAGAGCATCCTTCATTCATTAAATATTTATTTGGTGCCAATAATGTTAATACAGATTGTTCCATAAACACCTTACATAAGCAGTGTGGCAAAATTCTTATTAACTTGAGCACTCTGTGACTTCCTGTAGTCATACCATTATTTTGTTTACTTATGAAGTGGATATTCCTAGTCTCTAAAATGCATTAATTGCTCAGCTATATTTGGAGTACTATTCCCTCTTGTCTGCCTCAGTTTTTCTATAATGGTCACTAGTTTGTATTTTTTACTGAAAAAAAATTAAGTTAAATATATATTTACTCTGGAGACTTCAAGACAAAAAATTTCAACCATCAGGAATTTGAAAAGAAAATTGAGCCTTGATACCTTTTTCCTCCCCCCTAGACAGGCACAACTACTGGGTTTCCAGAGAAGCAGGTATGGTTGTGAGGAACACATTGAATCAAACGTCCAATATGACACCAGGGAAGATTCATTTGCTTTCCAGTAAAAACAGAGAAATTTGTCTCCCAGTCGACAGCTTCCAGCACACACTGGCATTTCCATTTGGTCTGTGAAGCAGCCCAGCCTCCCAGACTCTGGCTGTAGTGACAGCCGTATAGCAGTGCAAAGACCAAAGGAGGTTTCTGAAAAAGGAATTGGGAGCTGTTTTCCTTGCAGTGGGGAGATCTACATGATTTCACAGTGAGAAAACATACCGGATCTTTGTAGTCCTCTTTGTTTCCTCTCTCCAAGTTTTGCAGCCCTTTTTATCTGTAAATAAAAAAAAAGTTGTACATAAATTTTCAAAATGTGCTGCATAATACAACTTCATACATTTAGGAGGATGACAGCTGCCCTCTGAGGTATAGCCTGACAACCTAAAATCCGGAAATCAATCATTTAGATACAGTGATGCTGTGCCGTTGCTCCTGGTATATATTGCAGCACCCAGGAACCACTTATTTGAGACATGTCACCGTAACTCTGATAGATTAAAGTACCACATCCAGGAAACAATTGCATGTGGGGGAAAATGCTCTCATAGATCTGCCACATTATAGCCCAGAATCCAACAGCCAACCCAGCACGGCTGTGCTGTATCTGAGCTTCCAGAAACCTGTGAAGCTGCAGGATGACAGTTCTGTTCTTCAACAGCCCATTATGATCTAATTAGCATACATGAATTGCAGATTTGAAGCATTAAAGTGATGTACAAATCATTAATTTTTTGTCAAATCCATGTCATCCTTGTGTATGCCTTCCTATTTTAATGTTGCATGACAGTGAAAAGAGGTACAATCCTCTGTATATAAAGAGTAGAGATTTGGTGTAGCTGATATAATGAGATCTATTTAAACACTATGCATTTTTTAGCTTTGAATATATCTGCTTGGGAAAATGCCGCTCTTGTCCCATTAGGGTTAATTGTGAAAGGATGTTAATATATTCCAAACCCCAGGGGTAGTTCCACATGTTGTCTGAATGAAACAGGGGATGTAAGACCTACTTCACATCGGAGCTTTCTTTTTGAAAAGTCCTCCTTTTGATTAATAAAATCTTTCTCACTATGGAAGGTGTAACTATTTAGAATAAGAGCTGAGTTTGAGAGTGTGTGAGGATTCCAGTGCAGCAGATCCAGTCTTGTTAACCCAGCGCCAAACTTAATTTATAAAGACATAGACTGTGATGTTGTACAAAAGGGAAAAAATATCAAAGCAGACTTTCATTCTAGAAAAAGCTTCTAAATATCCATTTGTGAATTTCTGTATTGTCTCTGTGTATTTAATTACTAAAGCTGTTTGCGCTTAAACAAATGCTTGGTATTTCATTTGAATTTCTTGTTTGATATTACAGCAGAGTCACAATTTGTAATTTGTTAGTACTGTAATGGTTTCCATGGTTACAGAGTCTAATGTTATATATAAATATGTATGGGGTATGTATACATATGCGTATTATAAATGTGTACCTCAATGAAAGCCTGAATTAAAACTACAGCTATATTTTGTGAATCTAAAGATGGCCACAAACCCTATGGGAAATATGAGACTTCTGGGAGGGGCAGTAAAGTTTGCAAGGAAGCAGAGCCATTCGTGCCCACTTTTCTCCCACCCTCTTCCTCAACAACATTTTAAACTACTGGATAAAATGATGCTGGATAAAATGAAAATTAAGACCAAATTCCAGGGGGAAAGGGCATGGTTCCAAGATGGCTGAGGGATGCATTGAGAAAAGAGTGGACAAGGCAGGATCGTTGTTCCATCTGTGTCACAGAGAGAGGGGATTTAGCAACAAGGAAATATGTATATTTCCATAGAACCTTCATTAGGCATGTTGCACATTTCCAATTTTAATCCTCTCAGTAGATATGTAAGGTCTGTGTTATCTTCATTTTAAAGACATGAAAACTGGGTCTTAGAATAAGTGAATATTGTACCTGATTGAATAACTAGCCCGCGAAGCTTATATTTCCTAGATGTCACCTTGCTATCCTGAAGCCTTCATTAGGACAACATTCAGAACCATAAACTCACCCTTTTGTTTTTCCAGTATTACAGACTGAACCAGAAATACTCTTCCACTGAGGTATATCCCCAGCTTTTAGGTTTTTTTCTTTATTAATTTTATTGGTACATTTTAGGTATACAACATGCTGACATTCATTATTGGAAATTTGTACCTTTACATAATATATCTTGGTTCTGCTTTTTCCCCATTGCTCTACAATAAATATAAGAAAAGGAAAAACAGAAACTCAGCTTTTCAGTTTTGATTCTGAAACAGGCCTGGCTATGTTGCCCAGGCTGACGTTGACCTTGTAATCCTCCTGCCTTAGCTTCCTGAGTTCTGAGATTACAGGTGTTTTCCACCACACTCAGCCATGTATCCACTCTTTTAAAACTAAACTTCATATCTAGTTCTCATAGAGTAGAGCTGTGACAATGACCATGATGTGTCCTATGCAGAAGATGACTCTAAGATAAATCTGATTGAAATTAGTCTAATTGAAAGAGAGAATAAGGCAAGAAAAGGGCTAAAGGTGTAGGGAAGGTGGGATGGGTAGGGGAAGGGTAATAAGGGAAAAGAAAAAAATGTGAGAAAATGAAAAGATGGAAATAAACTGTTTGTAAATGGGGAGGGGAGGAGGGGGTGAAGGGAGGCAGGGACAAGGGGAAAAATGAGAACAAAGATCTGTCATGTAGAGGTGCAAGATCTCAACAATGAATGTAACTGTACTGTATCCCTAAAATGTACCAATAAAGAGAGAATAGCATGGTCATCTCTGTCAGTAGGGATCATTTTAATTTCCACTTAACAACATAGCAACTACAGTGGCTTAACTACAAAGGGGGTAGTCTTCATAAATCTTCTCAAGTCCAGATGTAATCAGGCATAGACTGATATGGGAGTTTCACAATACAACCTGAGTACCTGATTATCTTTGTATCTTATATCTTATTATCTTATAACCATCCTTAGGCTATAATAGTCATTTCATAAGATGCCTGATACCTCACTGGATGTCACAATTTCATTCCAGACTGAGAGAGGAGAAATGAACGAGCAAAGGGCAAATTCTCAAGACACTTGAGATATTCTCACTCTGTCTCTGTCTCTGTCTCTCCCTCCTAGTAAAGAGACAATTACAATTATTAGAAGTCAAGCATTGCCTTTTGACTTTATTCATGTCCTTGGGTTTAACCAGTGACATGTTGAGTAACTTCCAAGAACTCCATAAATAAGAAGCACTTCTTGAATGTGTATATCATTCTTATACAAGGGCTATACTAATCTTCTCTGTATCATATAC